CCTTTTTTTTTTCTCCTCAAGAAGAGGGCGACAAACGCCTGAAGGAGACTGAGTCACTGCTAAGAGCGAAGAAGAAGTGAAGTGAAGAAGCAGGGCTTCTCCTCTTTAAATTATTTATCATCATTGATTGCACTTGCTGATTACTCAGTGGAATGAGTCCCTTCTTCCTCTCTCTTTCTCTCCCATCTTCTTCCTCTCAGTACCATCAGCATCAGCAACAGCAACAGCACTATCAGTCATCCCTTCCTTTCCTTCTTTGCCCCCAACATTATCCCACTCCACCTTTTGCATCGCCCATGGCATCATCAAGCGTCTTGGACTAAGCTGAGCCAGCTCATGTTGCTGTCATTCTAACTCTTCTTGCCATCATTCATCATCAGTCTTATTCATCGTCGTGTGCCTATTCAGCAGTACCCATTATTACTAAACTTCCTAACGTGGTGCCACTTCACACGCCTATCCTTCTTTTGGATTAACACTTTTTCGACATTTCGACATTTCTACTTTTAGTTTTTGGGAGAGAATCTGCGTGGCGCAGTTTGCTTGGACCTGACCTTAGAAAATATTTCTTTTTTTCATTTTTTTTTTTTCATTATTATTATTTTTCCCTTTTCTTTTTTTGCCCCTCTGGTGTTGGTCGCCTCTCCCGTACGACGACTGACGGAGGTACTGGCTGACCTGAACTTTACCATACTCTGACTATACATTCACTTTACATTCATTCACTTTCCCCTGAACAGTATTACCCGGAAACACATCCATCCATCCCATCATCCATCATCGCCCCAGTTTCCTCAAGTGGGTTCCGTTCCCACCGATTGCTTGCCTACTTTCCTTCTGATTGATTACTCTCATACCAGTCAGTCTTCAGTAATAGTCTAATACCTTGATATTCGCTCTTCCCTTCTCCCTTCGTTGATCAACTGCTGGCCATTCCTTTTCTTGCCTGCCTGCCGGTTTTCCCCTGGCTGACTATTACTGTTGTCATCCTATTCTCTATCCCCTTTTTTCCCCCCTCTCCCCCTCCAATTACTATTCTGGCTGCATCTGCCTGCCTACTTCTGCACTCCCTCCCTCACTCCTCCGCTTCTCCCTCATTCTCTCATGTTCTCCATGAATTGGCCGCATATCCGATCTGGTGAAGTCTTGAGCACGAGCCATTGATCGTCACGAGAACCCACGTCACCCCATCGTTCCCCCGTCCATCCGCCCACTCGACGCCAGGGTACCTGCACAATATCACACTGCCTCCATCCCGAATCTCGCCTCCCGCTACTTGTTTATCCTCCACCGCCTCGGTCGCTCCGATTTCCTTTTATACAGCGCCACACAACGCCTCTCGCTTTCTGCTCTCCCTTAAAACCCCTTCTGTTATTCTATTTCGAACCATACTAACATTTGTATGGTATCTGTGCCTTGTGTGCTTGATCAATTGATCACAGCTTTCACATCATGACCTCCATACCAGACATTGACCCATATGTGGTGTTGGGAGTCCAAAAAGATGCAACCCTGGCTGACATTAAATCTGCCCATCGCAAACTGGTGTTGAAGTGGCACCCCGACAAAGTCAAGGACGAAAGCCAACGGAGTCAGGCTCAGGATGAGTTTCAAAAGGTCCAACAAGCCTACGAACTTCTGTCCGATGAGACAAGAAGGGCCAAATATGACAACAAGGTCCGCCTTGCGGAGCTTCGACGAGAGATGATGGCGCGCGGCGGGAATCCCAACGGTTCATCCTCGCGAAGTAATGGTTCTGATTCCACCGTGCCCCGCGAATACCGCAATGGGCGGATTTACGAAGAAAGAACTCCGGCCGATGCGACCAACTACTACGAGGAGGACGGCTTAAATTCTGACGGAACACGGCCGACAGCTCGCAAGTACGATGATTATGGCAAGCGACGGACCAAGGTGGCGGAGGAGAAGAAGAAGGCGAAGAGTGTCCCCATGAGTGCCGCCCGCGCCGCGAAAGAGATGCTTCGGGACAACGTCAAGACGACCCACTCGTCTCGCGACAAGTACCGTACCAAGGAACGCAAGCGGGATGCCTACGACAAGAGGTATCCTGAACGGGCCGCCCCGTACAGCGAGTCTGAAGATGACGGCGCGGCTTCCGATTCTAGCGCATCATCATACTACGTACGAGTCAAGCGGCCCTCGGAGAAACGAAGCCGGGAGTCGTCCTCACGCAAGGCTCGACCAACCGAATCTACCCGTCGCCCGGATCCGGCACGTTACGAATCGGAAGATCACTCAGATCGCATGGAGTCGAAGCATGAGAAAATGCACACTACCGCGCGGGATTACATTCTGCGATCGAAAGGAACCGTTCCCATTGAAATTGATCGACGGGCACAGGCATCTCGGTCGCCTCCTCGTCCTCACGCTTACGATTCAGCTGATCCCGAGTCCTCCTCCTCCCGGCGCTCGAATCGATCCAATCGTCCCAGCAAGGAAACTGTGCGGAGCTCAAGCTCCCGCAACAACTCTTACGAGCATATTGAGTCCCAGTCTCGACCCTACGACGCGAAGGTCCCCAGCATGCCCACGGCTGCAACATCACCAGCTGTCAAAGTATCCTCGTCAATTCGTCCTTCTCTTCAATCTTCACGATCTGCATCTACTGCGCAGTCCCATTCCCGACCGAAGACCTTAGGTCGTACGGAGCAGTTCCTTCTACACATGGTACACGACGGTAACTCTCGGACGACGAAGCTCCGAAATACAGACAAGTATGATTCCGGGTATTCTAGTCCGGGAACGCCGGACTTACCGCCAGGCGAGAGCCCGATGAAGACCAAATATAAGATCGTGACAGAGCCAGATACAGTCCTGGTGAAGCCGAGCATGCCGTCACCCCACGCGTCCTCAAGACATGCAAGGGGGCACTCGCCGCCTCGACAAGATCGTTCGGGGTCGAGCCGTCCTATGCCAAAACCAGTTCGCAGCAGTACTTATGCTTACCCAGCGGAGTATTCAGGTCGATATGAGTCGTCATCTCGGCCTAGTGCCTCGAGGCAGTCTTCTTCGCGGCCCCTCTATGGTGAGGTGGAATACACCCGTAGCAAGGATCGAGATTACAAGTACGCACGCGAGATCGGGCCAGAGCATATCCCCCATTCCGGTCGCGATGTCTATTCCCGGCGCATGGACGATTATCCCCATCCACCGATAGGAAGGCGGCAATCTGCTTACGCTCAATGAGTCGTTCTGGAGTGGAGCTAGCAGCTAGTCGCCAGGAGATAGACCCATCGACGATGTTCACCACCTTTCTTTTCACTTCTTGCATACCGACGCGACCATTTCCACTCTTAACACACTACTAGCGAGGACTTGTCCGAGACGTCTGCTTTGATATACCCGTATTTCTTTCGATCTAATGGAGTATCTCTTCGTTTGTCTGTCGATGAATCCCTCAATCCATGACTCTAACTCTTTCCGATATTCGACGCCCTGACATTCAACTATTCCTCACATACATCTTTATTGTGCTTTATCTTCACTACAATTGCAACTACTTCGGCGCATGGGATGGGGGTTTGACGTGGTTTGGTGCATTTGTTTTTCTGATGCTCAAGGAAGGGGGTAAGAGGCAAGGAGGAATCCTCAATGAACCAGGAGTTTATGATGATGATTACGAGTGACATGATCGAAATTTGGGAGGAAGCGCTTTTCGCAACAACAACAACAACAACAACAACAACACACATAGCCACATATCCACTTAGTACAGTAGAAACTACCTATCATCCACAGAATCTCAACATGGAAACCTACAGAACACACCTGATCAACATATTACTAGCAAGTAGTCTGTCCCTACTACATCATAATTGTCATCGTCCAGTTATTAAGTACAGTAGACATACTTTCTTCATCCTGTTACAGTTTGGGTATTCATGCAGCAGCTCCCCTCACGGAGTCAATGCTTAATGTCGCCCCCTACGTAAATTGAAGAAAGGTAAAAAAGAAATAAAACCTCCCCGCGAGGTAGCCAGCTAAGCCAGCCCACTCACCAGGTAGTGAATAAGGAATAGTGTCTAGGTACTGCATAGGTACTACATACTACATACCATATTCAGGTAATGAACGAGTTGGGCCACCACCACTCAGGCTCAGCCACCGAGTTGAAAAACCCAACACGATCCAACCCCCCACACTTACCCACCTCTCGCACCCCACAGTACTCCGTAGACTAATGTTCTAATGGTTCGAAGTTCGAACCTCTGTTCATCTGTTGGAAACACCACCAACCCTGCCCCCTGCCCCCTGCCCCCCTCATTTTCTTTGCTGAGTAACTTACTGTATCTACCCTTTATAGCAAGCAGTATTGCCAAAATGGATTCATAGATCTATAGCCTAGCGACTGAGGGAAGAAAGCCTACTCGTCATAAGAGAGATACGTATCACCGATGTACACAGTTCATCAAGCATTTACATAGAATTTGGAATAGGACAAAACAAGACGGGGGAGGAGGAAGCCTGAGGACGAAGAATATGGAAGGAGAAAAGGAACTATACTTTGTGACAGCACACATCCATGACCACACGGAGATACCGGGGACCCGGGAGAAACCAGAACATCAGATTCGAAACTAAGCGGGTATGTAGATTCTGCAGATGTGCATGCATGGAATGTAATAGACGTGGAATGATGATGATGATGTGTGTGTTGCTTCGAAAAAAGGGGTGGGGGGGAGATATTGGCCTGTTGTTCTGGCTTCTCATTCCGTGTCTGACATTGGTCGCTGCTGGCTTTAGGCGGCTAAATGTGATGGAAGAGGTTGACTGTGCTACATTTTGAGGCTGAGGAACGAAGTTCGCTCAGGTGGAACATGAAGTATGAATTGTGGCAGTATCGTCTAGGCTAGAATGGATGATCGAGGGCGAGGGATGATAAAGTGGGATGTCAGATGAATGGGTGGAAGGTAGATAGATTAGGTCACGCGGCCTGCGTCCAGGCGGGCAATGAGTAGGATATGATATCAGTCACGGCCTCATGGCTCGGTCCAGTCAACCTGGTCCGTCACAGGGTCTGAACCATCCTTGGCATATGTGATCCGCAGACGTAGGCGAAGTTTAGGTGGGAGGGCCTGTGGCGAATATCAATATACGTGCAGGGAATATTGCAAAATAGCGGAAGAACTTACCCCGGCCAGGCCTGCAACTTTGAGCATCTGAATCCCCTCGTCACCAGCCTCCAGATCTGCCTTGCTGATCGCATTCAGCTGCAGACGCTGACTCTTGGGAACAGCAGCCTGCAATCCCACATTGGAGAATTGGCCAAAGTTTCCAACGTTACGGAACCGCGCCTGAATTTGCGCATTACCGTTGCTGGCACGTTGAACTTGAAGCGTGAGAGTCAAGTCATTCTTGTTGTATGCTGTGTGCACCGGAACCGAAGGTGCAGGGCTCGGGGCTGGCGACATAGCAGCCCCAACGCCTCCCAAAAGATCCAGACCGGAAGATGCGGACTGCGATACGTTGGGAGAAGGCGTATTGCCATTGGAGTCGAAGAGACCCATGATCGCGCTAGTGTTGACGGATCCAGCCGGCTTTTGCGCGGGTTGAGGAGATGGTGATGACGGGCCTGAATCGCCACCGAGGATATCTGCCAGAAGGTCGGCTGTGTTTTGAGAGCCGTTAGTGGTTGGGCTAGTTGCTGGAGCATCGCCACCCATGAGATCGAGCAGCATATCCTGCTCCGCCTGCTTGACCGGCTTCTTAGACTTATCCTTCAACAATTTGCTCTGGCGCTTCTTGGTCGGAGCACCCAAGACTCTTTGCTCCTCCCGAATCTCCGGGGGAGGCATACGTTCCAGAACACCACGGCGAACCTGATCATACCCAAACAGATTAGTGTACTCGACAGCCCGCTGTTGAATCTCGACACTCAGGTCAGCAGTGCGGCTGCTAAGGAAGCGACGGAGACGCTCAATCTCAGCGGGATCGGACATGCGCACGGTTAGCTTCATCGAGGCCGTGGTGATGTATTCGATTACGGTCTGAGTAGCATATGTGCTGTTAAGGATGTTGTTAAAGAGATCGACAATGTCACTCTCCTTGACCTCCTTAACCAGTTCCTCTTCCTCATATTGACCACCACGCAGAAGATTGTCGCCGTATTCACCAATAACCCAGGTGGCGGCAAGTGTGAGACCCTCCTGTGAGATGTCCTCCTTCAGGGCTAGATAGAGTTTTTGCACAGAGTAGGTCTGCAAGTCCGGAGTGGTAGCGATGAGGCGGACAAAGGAGGACAGAATCTGCTCCTTCACGTATGCACCAGCAAGCTTGAGCACACGAAGGATGGTGTCAACATGCCAGCGCTTGTTTGGAGCATAGCGGTCTGCAGCAATCCCGATTTGCGTCGTCATCGTCGGCTTGAATTCGTTGTCGGCGACTTCCAGAAACGCAAGCAATTCCCGAACAAGCACGCGGACGTTGCTCTCGTTGATGAGCATAAAACTCAAGTCCAGAGCTCGTCTCCGGATACTGATATCTGGGTCGCGAAGACATTCCAAGATGGTGTTGCGGTGTCGCTGCACGGCATTGGGCTCGATGGCGACGACCTTGTTTAGCGTGTTGAGAGCGACATAGCGGATGTTGTTATCCTTGTTTGTAAGGAACTTTCCGAGAATGTTGACACCCAACACGCGGAGACCTGAGTCCGCCTCAATATCGAGAATAGTGAGGACAGCCTCGTAGAGAATGGCATTACCGACATTTTTGGTCGAATCGGTGTTGGTAGCCACCTGCGCCAGAATGTCGTTGATTGACTCGCTCGTTGTCGCATCGCCTCTCCCCAGGACCCTAAGCAAGCGTAGAATCTTGACCTGTAGAAAAGGGTCCGTGATACCCGAAACGTCATGTTCCGGAGCATATCCTGAACTGGTCAGGCCTTTCAGAGCACGCACAAGTCCACCCGCCAGAGGCCTAAACATCTCAATCACTCCTTCTTGGCCCTCCTCGGCCTCTTCCGCCTCACACATATCGATGACCAAGGTCAAACCGCATAGCAGAACCCCGTGGTTCCGATCTGACAGCAAGTTCTTGGCTTTCTCGAGGAAATGTTCCTGTAGGTCAGGAACCTTGCGACAAACACGCATGGCGCACAGCGCTGCCTTTCGCCGAATGTAAGGGTTCGCGGTGGACATCAAGGCTTCGACTTCGGGGAACAGGTCTCGAGACATTTCGACTGATGCGATGTTTCCCAAGGCACAAAGTGCCAGGCCAACGATATATTGGTTGGAGTGATTAAGGTCACTACCAGACATCAGCAGGGAGCCACTGGTGGGACTGGCTTAGTCACTCACTTCTTCAAAGAGTTCGTTACCAGCGTCAATACTTCTTGGTTCTCGTCTAGCAGTAGCATAGTGCCCAGGTATCCCAGCCGCTTGTCTGCAAAGCGGTGGGATGCCAGCAGCTTCAAGCACTCGATCTGACCAAAGTGTGTCCGTTCACCCAAGGTGAACAGATACAGAAGCTTGGCTACATTATTTCTCCTATTCACAAGTATAAGAACCCTGTTCAAAGGCAAAGATGCCAGTGGAAGATTGCATTGCTGACCGGACGTTTGAATCGTGGCTTTCTTCTCTGAAGGACGCACGGATGGCCGCACTCTCCTTTTGGATCACCGCTCGTTCGTCGGCGATTGTCTTGGCCGACCGGACATTTCGAATGAATTGCTTAACTATGATATCAGTGCGACAAGGGATAGATCGTCAGTGATTGAAGAGCCAAAGCGTGGACCAGACAACAAGGTAGTGGTGTCGATGGAGGGGGGTTCCTTCACATACGGGATGCCATAGCGGGCACAAGGACCCCTTACGGGGAAATGCAATAGAAAGGCGGGGGGAGGTCGCCCGGATAGAAGAGAACCGGGGAAGGTGAGGGAAAGAGCGAAGAAGCCAGTCTGCGCAATCCCAAGAGGGGTGAATAGAAAGAAGAATGGAAGTGATCCTTATGGGGGAGGGGAGGAAGGGGGGGGGGGGGGGGGGAGGACAGTAAAATCGGAGATTGTAGCAACAATAACTGATAAAGATCGGGCCAGCAGACCAGGTCGTTCAAGACAGTTTCCAGATGGGTTGAGCCTCGCCCGCGCCTGCGACTTGGCCGTCTTGGCAAGAGCCCTCTATTTTGGGTCTAGCGTTGCTCGTGCCTCCTTCCCGCCTTTTATCACGTGGTAAGAGCTGGGGGCCTGGTTTATCAGGCCGTAATGTTTCTGCTTTAACTGCGTCTTCGTCTTACGTACTTAGTCTTGTACAGGCCGGGATCCTTACATCATCGGTCATAACTTCACAGGCAGGCACAAACAACCCCCGAACTGCACGGAAGATGCGGAGACTCGGTCCAACTGCGCTTCCGATGACGTCCTTGCAATCCAACCTTGAACACTCTCGCAACAGTACCGCTTTCCCCAAGACTCTCCTCCCCCTGCAGCCGCTTCAGGTATGACATTAATCAATTTCCAAGATGGTGCGCGAGTCATCTACAGTCTACTGCAGGAGGTGCATGCTGATGATCGCCCTTCCGCCCTCTAAAGGCTTTTAAGGCTTTGAAACATACTCTGGATCCGCGCCTCAATGTCCGACCTTTCTATACTTAACCCCTGGAACATCTTTCGTATTCGTTTTGGTCGGTTGGTCCCTGCACGAGCCAGATTTAAGGTGTGTGTCTGTCTGTCTGACTGTGCTCGAAGTATAGGATCCACATAAGAGACCGCATCACATCCCCTCTTCCCTCCCCCCCTTCTTGGATTTCTCTACTTGTCGCATGCCCCGTTGCATGCGTGGCAAAAAGAACAGATCAACTTACGTACAGCATTGTCCCATATATCAATTGCATTATTCCCCTCTTCCCATTGATTCTTCACTTGGTTCGATGTGACACTGTCTTGTTTCCCCTTTCCTCCATCCCCTTAACCGAAGATTAGATCAACATGTCTTCTGCCATTCAACAGGTGAATGGCTCGCCGTTATTACGGCCGCGTGTGGTCCCGGCCATGAAGAAATCGATGACGGATCCTACGTCAGTCCCTCCTTCGGAAAGCTTGGAGTCAAGGTAGGCAGCGAGCGTTCAACTCCAACAGTTGTCGACAATTCGGAGACTGACAATCTTTCCTTTTTAGCGGCCATTCGACACCTGTCCCTGAAGATGCCCCGCCTTCACTCCATTCGATTTCCACCGCCAGGAAACAAGCTCGAGCGCGCACACGGATCTTCTATACCATCGACTATGTGCCCCGAGTGTCCCATTTCGACCCGAGAAGCGACTACCGCAATTTCCGCGGGTTCTATACCCTGTTTTGGATCGCACTGTTTATTATGGTGGTCACCACAGCGCTTCGCAATATCAAGGATACTGGGTCCCCTTTCAGAGTGAGAGTTTGGAATTTGTTGTCGGCAAACGTGTGGTCCATGGGCGTCAGCGACCTGGCTATGGTAGTGAGTAGCGCTGCGGTGCTACCCCTCCATCGCATAATCAGGGCTCGGGGTGGTGTTTGGCGCTGGAAAGGAGGAGGCATGGCCTTGCAAAGTATCTTCGAAGCGGCCTGGGCCTGCCTATGGATCAAGTAGGTTGCGACGGCTACAATTCCTGGGGTCGTGATTTCATGAGCTAACCATGAGTTGCAGTTGGCCCTTTATGATGCGCTGGACCTGGACAGCGCAAGTATTCTTCACCCTCCATACATTGACTATCTTGATGAAAGTACACTCATATGCCTTTTATAATGGTCATCTCAGTGAGACTGAGCGTCGGTTGTCCTCGCTTGATAAGCCCGGCTCTGTGTCCTTGGAAGCTCCGGTGCCGTATCCGGATGCCTCCCCTCGTCGGCACGCTGCCACCCGGCGCCATAGTCAACACGCACGATCCGAATCGATCGCCGAGTTGCGTGAGGACCTAGCCACGGAGCTGACCTCACCGATGGGCAATGTGACATACCCACAGAACCTGACGGTCACCAACTATGTGGATTTCATCTTCTGTCCCACTCTGTGCTACGAGTTGGAATACCCTCGGAACAGTGACCGGGACTGGATCGAGATCGGCCTGAAAACTCTCGCAATCTTCGGATGCATCTTCCTTCTGACGTTGACCAGCGAGGAGTTCATTGTGCCAGTCTTGAGCGAGGCCAACATCCAGCTCCACACCGTGTCAAGTATGACCGAAAAGGCCCTGATCATGGCGGAGACCATCAGCATGCTTCTCTTTCCCTTCCTGATCACCTTCCTGCTTGTCTTTCTCGTCATCTTCGAATACGTGCTGGGCGCTTTCGCAGAGCTGACTTGTTTTGCCGACCGTCATTTTTACTCGGATTGGTGGAACTCATGTGATTGGTACGTCTACGGGCACCTTTGGTGGCTCACATAAACGCTACTGATGATGTGGGTTGACATGTGCTGACGAAAACTCTATGATATGCAGGCTGGAATTCTCCAGAGAATGGAACATCCCCGTGCACCACTTCCTGCGGCGCCATGTCTACTTTCCCTCCCTCTCCCACTTCTCCAAACCAGTCGCCATGTTCATCACCTTCCTCGTCAGCGCCATCGCTCACGAACTGGTCATGAGCTGTATCACCAAGAAGCTTCGTGGCTACGGCTTCCTCGCAATGATGCTCCAGCTGCCCATCGTTGCGGTCCAGCAGTCCAAGTACATAAAGGGGAAGACAATTCTCAACGTACGTACACCCCAAACCACTCCCGAATATAGAAAACATGGAACTAAACTTACTCTCTCACTCCATCAGAACGCCTTCTTCTGGCTATCAATGATTCTCGGTTTATCCATGGTGAGTACAACCACTTGACCTAGGTATCCCCATAACTCGACTAATACTCAAACCCCGTCCAGATGTGCGCACTTTACGTCCTAGTCTGAACGTATGCCATCCCACACAAACAAACAAACACCCCGATAGACAATTTACTCGCCGCATATACATCTCATTTACAAAGCTAGGGCGCTATTACCACCGCCCCCACACCCCTGCAACCAACCACATACATATACCATATTTTTATGTTCGATTCTTGAAGTATACTTCTCTTCTTCTTCGTCTATGTGTTATCATCATCCTTTATATATATCCTGATATCTTTCATCATTGCATGAATGATCCCCCCTTCTGAGCGCGTCCCCACATTTTTTCCCAATGCAATTTACCTTGCTTGTACAGCATCAATCCTGCCGAGTTTCGGCTTTTACCTACTCATACCCTTTTTTGAAGTCCAAGTCTCGAGTGAGAACATAGAAAACTGGATCTAGAGAATGGGATTCGTGTATAGGGGATCTTTGTCCAGTACAGCTTGATAGATGAGGGGGTTAAAATCATAAATGTTAGAGACGACTCAAATATATATTCGCCCGATCTGGTGGACCCTAGCCCTAGGCCACATGTGCTGGATTGTTATATTCTCAACAAAACAGCTAGAATACAATTCACACAACCAATAAAAGAAACCGAACAACCATGATAAAATCTTATTGCCATTCTGCTGCATCGATGTCGCCATCGTCTAGATCAAAGACCTTGCCAAATAATCGAACAAGAAGAAAAAACTCGGTGCCGTGACCATGATAAAGCCTGGAAAACAAAAAATGACAGATCGATGGAAATGGTTGAACGCGACGCAAAGCCACTTACTCCGCCATTCGGAAACCCGCCATCCCAAGGAAAGATATATATAGGTGCAATGCGACGGGGTTTTCCCGGCTGATCTCCAAAAGGTTGTGGGGAGCGTGTACAGGTAAAGTGAACATATCCAATACAGTGACCAGCCATCCAAGTCAATGGCCTCTAAAAGCTCGACAGTAACAAAGTGTAGCTAGACAAGGTGATCAACACCGTCATAGCCAGCCCAAGGAAGCCAAATTGAAAGATGTCATGTTGTGGGACAAAACGGGCCAAGTCAAACTGCACAGTCCGCACTTCTAGATATGCTCGATGGGTTCTTCGGGAAGAAGAATAACTCTTTCGCGGCGATCACGAGGAAGACAAGCCTTGAGTGGGGGCTGGATAATGTCGTTGAAAAGGAAGGTCCCGTAGACTAGCAGAGCAAAGCCAGCCACCTGGAGCCATTTGAAGGTTTCCCAGCCCAGAGCTAGAGAGACAAGCCAAATGAAGAGGGTGCGGCACGTGTCAATGGTACTACGCGATGTAGCCGAAACGGTGTGAGTAACGGAAAGCCCAAAGAAATTGAAGCCGCTGCAGCAGAAACACTTAGTATCAACGAGATCGAAGCTGTTCAGTGGTGATAACTTACCCAATGCTGATCATGATCAGAAGGCTGGAGATGGCGATTGAACGGTTGTGTAGAATCTGGCGCCAGCCTTCCTTTGCGTCAAAGTAGCCATAGCGACCTGCCTCGGTCCGTCCGACAGCCAAGTACATGATGATCGAGCCGATGACAGTCACGCTGAACCCAAAGATACCCTCCCAACCAACTACCTGAAGAGGATCCATGGCGTAATGTTCCAGGATCCATTCTTCGAGCACGAACTGCGAAGCAGTGAAGATCTGCGCGGCGGCAATGAGAAGAACACCGATCAGTGTTTGCACGGCTTCTGGAGTTCGTGCAGTGGTCTGCACTTCTCGGAGAGCATGTGTGATGGCCGCTGCTGCATTCTCTGGGGCAGAGTCATGGCCCTGACTGAACAGTGCGCCTGCAAGGCCAACCAGCGCAACGCCAAGAACGACCACAAACAGTGCCGCCCAGTGATAAATGTGGAGTTTGCGGTGGAGAAAGATCACACTGAAGAGGCCGACAAAGAGGACGAGGGCACCCCGGGTCATTTGGTAGATA